GGGCGGAGCCACGCCCCGGAGCCGCCCCGCCGGGAAAGCCGCGCGCCAAGGAAAACCGGCTGTTGACAAAACACTGTTCTTTGCACCAAAACAGGCTGGAACTTCCTGGAAAACATGACCCGCAGGCTGGGAGGGGAGAGCGGGGCCGCACCTGAGCCCGGTCCCGGAGCCGGGACGAGCGGAGCAGGGCCCGGCAGCAGCCCCGTCCCGCGGCCTGGCCGGCTCCGCTGCAGGGATTTTTTCCACCCAGGAGGTCGTGGGGCGGCTCAGCCGCGGGAAGGGGGAGATTTCTGATTCACTGTCAGAATTGCCTAAATTTCACTGCCAAAATGTCTGCATTTTTTCCGTGCTTAAACACAGTGCGTTACAGAAAGCTCCGAACAATGGGATGAGCCAGGCCCGGCTGTCACGCACCGTAAACCCTCGCGGGTGTGAGACAGGCAATAGGGGACAGGCAATAAGGAACAGGCAATAGGGAACAAGTGGCTGGCACGAGGAGCCCTGTGTGTGCTGGGCATGCGGAAGCAGCCCGTGTGTTTTGCAGTCACAGAATAAAGGAGTTCGGGGTTATTTTGCATTTCTAAGAGCCCCATTGCAGCCCTTTGCAGCCGTGCAGGGCACTTGGTTGCTGCTCTGCGTGGAGGCTGTGCCCAGCCGGATGGGTCACACTTCCATGCACATTCCCGAATCCCCGTGCCCCGGATGAGCCGTCCTCAACCCGGGAGCGAGGCCGCCTGGGTCTCCCACCACCAAGTGACGGTGCCCAGAGACCTGTGCAGGGCCGGGAAGGGGGACACAAGGAGCCGCTGCTGGAGCCAGAGCTCCCGCGGGAGCCTCCAAGGAGCTGCAGGCGGCTTAAGGCGCTCGTTATTTCCTCTCCATTAGGGAAAAGAAAAAAAAAAACACACAGAAACCCACACACAAAACTTGGGAAAAAAAAAAAAGGATCATTAAAAAGAGCCGCGGACCCCCAGGAGCAGAGCAGCATCATGTGTCTGACATTTGGCTT